TTACAACTTTACTTTCTTAAAACCATAGTTTTGCAGTTGTGGGTTGAGAAAATATTTACATATTGATTCAATTAGTGCTATACTTACTTGGTTATACTTATTGATACCCTTATTTGGGGATTTTGAAGTTGGTGGTTCCCTGAAGTGTTTCAGCTCCAGCCTTCCTGGTATGTTGGTAAACTTTCAGAGTATTTACCTAAACTGAAAATAGTGCTATTGCTTTTCCATTCACTTCTGCACTAAACGTAAAGCTGTAAGACACCTATTGCTGTTTTGAAGTCCTAGTCTACCACTCACAATTCTGTATTTCCTCTGAAACATTTTCTGGATTTCTGGGCAGCACTGAGAATGATAAATAGTATTTTGGGGATCCAAGTGTAGCTACCTCAGAATTAAAAGCTCATACTGTATAGAATGAGTGTTCTCAGAGTCTCGCAAGTCTCGCAAACTTTAAGGAGACTGCATGCAAGTTGCATGACTTCTGCAGAATTGAGGTCTCTGGCTTGTATTTGGCATTTCATTGTATGCAAAACTGTAATCTTCCTCAGACTTCCTTGCCAAATAAATTGCTCTTCATCTCCTCTCTCTGTACTGGGTAAGAAAACAGCAGCACGTTGAGGTTCATTCAGTAAAGGGGGAAAAAAGGAGAGGAGCAGGCTGTGTTTGGAGAGCTTAGGGTTAAAATATTTTTAAGAGTTTTCTTGGATATGGAATCATTTTTGTGGCTTCCAAGTTTTAAAAGCTCTGTAAAAGTCAGACCTTAGTATTCTAAGAATGTTCAGCTCTTTCTCTCAGCAAAAAATAAATGCACCCATGCATGTGGAGTGGGGAGGAAGGGGTAGGGGGTGGTGCTTGTCCTTTTCTTTTTTTTTTAATGTTTTTAATTAGGTGGACTGAGGAACTCTGCAAACTCTCAGGTTGCAGTGGGGTTTGTAAACAGATCATTTGCCCCTCAGGCACCTTGTGCTAACTAATGCTTCGTTTAGACAATATCAATCAGCGGTGTTTGAAAACGTGTTGGTGTTTGTTTTCCACCCTAAGCATCTCTCCATGCACAGCTCTCACCAGGTGGGCTGTCACTCACCACCGAGCTGGCAGGATCCAGAGCTCCCTTCTCACCTTCCCACTCAGGCAGCCAGTGATCTCCACTCTGGTCTCTTCCCCAAGATGGGAAGCAGGTAATGGGCTGCTCACCCGAGGACGTCCCATGGGCAAGCTGCTCTGTGTCCTGGATCCAAATCCTCACCCCGCTCTTTAAGCTGTGATGGAGAGGAGCAAGATGAATTGAGCACAAAACCCTGGGAAGTTGCTTATATGGGCTCTTCCTCCCAGTCTCTCCACTGCCGCCCCAGCAGTGTGGTCCCCTGCCACCAGAGGAGAGGAGCCGAGAGGACAAGTGTAGCAGATGGTGGCTGGAAAGGCTAGTGCAGGTGACATTCTGGCCATGGCATGACTAGGTGCTGGCTGTAGAAGCAGAATAAGTTTTATTTATTAAGTCCTGGTGCCAGATTTCCTGGTCTGTGTGTACTGTGTTGTGGTTATAACTACGGCTCATGATTTCAAGAGATTTAACTCCATGTACTCAGGATTTTCTTGTTCTTTGGTTTGGGCCAACTGTGTCTTGAATATTAAATCAACCTCACATGGTTAGAGGAGGCTTTGCTTTTAGCCTGCTCTAACTCCATTTTGCTTTATCTGTCTTGTTGGTTTATAAATCAGACGTTTTCTTTTTCTCCACAGATGTGTCCTAGAGGTTTAGTTAACATGGGCAATTTGCAGCTCAGTTTGTTTTAAACTTCTGTTGAGATTTATACTAAATGGTTGAGGTAAATCTCAGGGCACTGCACATCTGGCTTAGCCAGGCAATGAAACACACTAAGTGGAAACTTCAGGAAGTTAAAATATAAACTTCCCTGCCCCTTTTCCTGCAGGGGCAGGAGAAGGGATGGGTCTGCCTGCTTGCATATGCTGTTATGGTATGTTAACACTTTCGGTACTCAGAGATACGTTATATTTGCCTCCTGCTTGAGACTTTCCAGTCAGATAGCAGCATCACGGGTAAATGTGGCGCCTTGGGATTTGTAGCTTTGTGACCTGGGAGGTCAAAACCTTCCTGTGAGATATACGCTGGCATCCATGAAAGCTGACCCTCTGGAAGTCCCCTGTTTGAACTTTTGTCAGCAAACTGCCTCTTCTTCTGCTCTTCTTTCCCTTGGGACTGAAAAGATGGCTTTTAAAGTAGATCCCAGGTTTTAGATTAGCACGGCCTAAAAAACAAAACTTTTCCAAAATGCCATATGTGAACAGAGTGTTCATTCCTGTGTCTTCAAAACAAGAGAAGAAGCCAGTAAGCCTCACGCTATTCCTCCAGGATTACTCAAGTGCTGTCATGCTTTTAAATTTAACAAGTCTGACTCTGTAGCATTTTACATATTCTGAACACGTGTTGCATACATTCAGCCCTGGCTTGGCATTTTGTGAATAAGACAAATGCACAGCACTTATCAGTGCATGTTACAGTGAAATTTTTTTTATCATATCTTGTTTCAGATTTCATATGAAAAGGTGGGGACGATATTACAAAATCAGGGGATAATTCACATTCTAAGCCCATGTGTAAAACAATGCCACAAAAAAAAAAAAAAAAGAAAAAAGTTATATCTACCACATTTTAAACTTCTGAATTAAAAACATGTGTCCTGCCAAGTGTAGC